AGCCCTGGGGATGTGGCACTGGGGATTGAATCCAGGACCTGAGCTTCATCCACAACCCCTTTTTTTATTTAGAGATTGGCTCTTGCTAAACCCAGGCTTGGCTAGAGCTTGTGGTTCACTTGTCTCAGCCTCCAAAATTGCTGGGAATACAGGGGTGCACCACCACACCCAGTTGTTTGAAAAATTGTTAACATTTGAGAAAAGCAATTACTGACAAGGACAGAGTTGCACCATAAAAAGATTGACCCAGTAGTATGCAGAACATGAATGGGTATGGAGACTGGTTAGAGAAAGAGACATTAAGAGGCTACTTCAGTGGTGAAGTGAGAAATGAGGGCAATTACATGAGAATTAGATAAAAAAATAGTTTTGAGACTTAGTGAAATGAAAAAGATTCTGGGGACAAATAATATATGGGTTAAGGGGACCAGGAAGCCTCACTACAGGGGTTTATTGGGTGTTTCCCCCCTGGGTGCTGATCTCATACACATTGCAGAGCCCTGTACAATGATGCTGATGTGGAGTTTCTGCAACCCAGACACTAAATCATGCAAACATCGGGCGAACTGCCACAGCCAAAGAACAGGGACGATGCTCAGAAGCTCTGACTGGGAGTTGTAGCTCTCCAGGAAGCTGACCTATGGCCTTAGGTAAGAACTCGTGGCTGAGTCTTTGAACCCTGCTCAGTAAGAGATAAAACCTCCATACGTGCTTACTGTGAACATATGTCACACCCATGAAGGGATGTGAAAACCAGAAAGTTCTGTCCAAAGAGGAATCACTAGTATTACTGCCCCTGGCCTGCTCAGGGAATCTCTCGCATTCTCCTTGTTCACACATAAGCGGGTATTAGCAACTGACCTGAGGTGGATGTCAGTATCCATCTCTCTCCGCATCCTAACAACTCTTGTTTTTCATTGCTCTGACTCTAAAGCTGAGATGTTTAGCATAGGGATTACCATAAAGATGGTTCTCTTTCAATTGCCAGCAACTTCCTATAATGCACCAGCTTACATGTTGAACAACTTTAAATATCCCGATTTTAGGGCAATGTACAAAATGCTAGTATATCAACACTCTCAACTGTTTCTTAATCTTATTTTTTTAATCTTAACAAAAATTACAGTCTGGGAGTCCCGTTAGCCATGAGCTCAACAGTTGTCTGAATCACAAAATATTTCCCCCAAACCTCAAATTCCAAGGAAAAGCAATGATCTGTTCTCACTCTGGAGAAAAAACACTTTGTATTACATTTACAGAGAGATAGGGTGTTGATCTTTAGGTTCCTATCGTTCTTAATAATTTTCCAAGGAATTTTAATAAGAAATGCTGTTAGAATTTAGCGTAAGCACCACTCTGAGTGCAGTGAATTTTCTGGCTTTTCTCGGGTACACAGCCCCAGAGCTGGTCTGTACTATGCGGTACATTACTGTCCCTGGAAGAGAACTGAGGCCAGCTACCCTTGACCTGGTTTTATGATAAGGAAATGGCACTAAAGTCGCATTTAAAAGTCCTTAACCAAATATTACATAAAATACACATCCTATTTCACAGGAAAGGCACAGAATTAACACTAAGGTTTCCAAACCAGCACAAAGATTCTTCTGTGTCTTAAAAGGGATTTCCAGTGAGAAGGGAACATTTCTCCCTTCTAAAGACTTGCTTATAACAATATTTTTCAAGGAACTTAACTCAGATGTTATAGGAAATACATTATGGCTTACAGTAGCATGCAAGTTCACGGCTCAGCACATTATGGTAACACAAATATAATCCTTCTTGCTCTTCTTTTATAACACTGCCATGTAGGAAAATTAAAGCAGCTAACCTGAACTATAAGCAAGATGTATTTTTATTTTCTTAAAAAGTTTTTCCTCAGTAAGTTTAATGCCAAATTTCCCAGAAATTCTCAGTGCAATGAAAGAACATTGTTTCAAGACGCAAAGATAACTTTTCCATTGGTCACTATAAAATGAGCAATAAACAAAGCCAGGGGTTGGCAATTATTCAGCCCTTGGAAATTTCCAAGCCCTTTGCAATCATTAATTAATTAGTGAAGACGATGTTTCACTTTACTGAGGTTGAAAGCACGCATACAGAGGTCTGGTGGTTTTCCTCAAATTGAAAGAGGAATGTGCAGGAAGAAACAGGGTAGGAATTAGCAGGAACTCATTCTTCAAACCTGCAGTCATGCCATTAAGCTGCATAAAGCCAAGAGGAAACAGCAGAGTCCTCTGTGTAGAGGTGCAGTTGAGTGCGGCACTGTTCTACTCAAAGATCGACTGTGACAGTGCCCGCCTCATCCGTCAGTGCGCCAACACAAGGAATATGTCCTGGAGCGTTGTCTCTGCCCCCTTTCCCAAAGCACAGACGGATGCTAACTATCAACCTCTAAACGCTTGCTTTAATAATCATAGCAAAAAGGTACATAATTTGATTTTCATTCTTAAAATGCACAGTTGAGTAGGATGTGAAAACACTACGATGATGAAAAGCACACATTTCACAATTTTTAAACTGGCATGGAATCTGCCGATATCTAAGCTCTGGAATAGCGCAATAAATCATTTTGGATAATTATCTTACTCAAATAGAGGCAGCGTAAAATTGCATGACTTCTTGTGAGTGGGTAATAAAAAATCTGTTCCATCACCCTAAGTGGGGTGGTGAGGACAGACCAAATGCTAATAATGCGGCTGAACAGAACGCCTTAGATGCAGGCTTTGCAATGGGCATTCTTGTTCCCTGTCCAGTGGATTGGCTCCAGGACTGTCTAAAGTATTCCGTGTCATCATTGGACAACGGAGCATTTGAAGAGTGGCTCTGTACTCCTCACCAAATAATTCCCTCCACGGAGACATAGTTTTGTTTTCTCTCATGTCTGGTTCCACATGTGGGGTAATAGCACTCACGAGGGACCTCAGAGATCATCTCTGTCTTTCCCTTAGGAGTATCACTGATCCTTCCATGGAGCTTTCTTTGAGCCAAGCAAAAACTGCGTCCCTATTAGAACATAAATATGGAGAGCAACTGTCCCAACTAAACCTTTATTGTAATCATAAATTGCTGCAGTTGTACAAAAGTGAGGTAAAGTGAAATATCAATTTTTTTTTTTTTTACTATTTTCTAAATGGTCTCTCTAGGATAGTCACAAAGGAAAAGCTGTGCAGCTTCATGAGCTCAGACAAACACAAACCATTTTGTATCAAAACGTTTCTTTTCATAAGGAGACCGTAGTAACAGAGGATGCTGCAAAAACCACTTGGAACTGTAACTTGGAATCTTTATGTTGGGAAATGAACTTGGATGGAATACGTTCATGCAGTGGGCACGAATGAGATTGATGGATTCCCTCCCTCTTCACAAGAACCACTAGGGAGCAGCTCTACACCCTTAAGGAACTTGGTGTTCACTTGGAGCTCCACGAATGAAGCACAAACAAACATTTGAGACCCTGTATGGCAGTTCTGTTATAATTTCTGAAACTGATAATCTTGTCAAAAATATGGATCAAGAATAAAAAACACCCCCCCAACCCTCTACTTGAGTCTAGCTCTTAAAATTACCCTTAAGCTAATCAAGGGCTCGCAAATTTCTGCTATATGATAGCTCTACCTAAAAGGAAAGGAGGGTTCAGTTCCAATGCAATGGCTGGATGCTGGTTCTTTCATTTCACTTTTCCCAAGTAATTCTCACAGGTTTCTCTCGCCATGGGGAGAGGGAACAACATTGACTTTGTTCAAGTACTAACGGGAAACCTGAACTGCAGTGAGTGTGGATCCCTAGTGCTATTGTTTAAACTTCGATAATATATTTTACTAATTCAGTATGACCAAAACATTATTTTAATATAAAGGGGTTATCAAAATTATTAGTAAGATACTCTTTCTGGTATTAAGTCTTCAAAATCTAAGGCATATTCCAATGTTAGGACACATCTCAATTTGGATGCTAACTGTTCATTAGAAATACTTGATGGGTATATATAGTTCATAAAATTAACAGTGGACAGTATAGCTTAATATAACCAAATTGTTCCAAGTCAATGTAAATGTTTTCCTAACAGAATCATACATAACAGTGTCTCAATTTTACATACATATTAATAAAATTAAAATTTAAAGAGTGGACTGTGTAATATTATTTTACATGTAGTCAGAGGAAGTAACTGACTGTGTTGACTTAAAAGGCATCCATATAGTACCGATAATTAAACCAAACCCCACAAGGAAACCATCACTCATTTGAATTTTCAGATGGTGCTTAATAGGGTCAAAGGTGGAAAAAGAATTGTCTTACTGGGGAATCAGTACACAAACAAACAAGGAGCAACAAACAAGTCCCATTACACTGCAACCCTTTCCCAAGGGAAAATGACCGGGGTGTCTGCATTACCTTGATTCTCTGGGCATCCCTTGTCTCCTAAATCTTTGGCCACTTGTTCTACCCTAGCAAGAATACAGTACTAACACTGCTTGAGTTCTGACCACTTTGAAATGGGCACAGCTTGACAGCAGCTCACTTGAGGAGTACCTTGCACACCTGTCACTTATACTTGTGGAAATGATTTGTATCTGCTAAAGCGTAAGATGTTGCGTTCTTGTTCAGTATCTAAGCCAATGCAATATGTATGAGAAGTTTCTTCTCCTTGCTGGGATGCTCTGACCAATAGGATGCATCAGCTGGAAGAGAAATTATTTTCCCTCCCTTCCCCAGAACGGATTTTCTTGATATACTAGGGATCATATGGCTTGTTGGAAGAAAATTTTTCAAAATTGAGCAAGGAGTTGCACTTGACAATAAACAGTAGCTGTGTTAGTAATGTATCTTCAAATAGGATCTGCATTTTAACCTACTTCACTCATTTTTCCTGGAGTTGTATTTGTTAACAAAGCAAAAGAGAAGCACGTGCAGTCTGCCCTTAGCTTTGCTTTCTGGGAAAGGCAGGCTAAGGTAAGGTAAATCCTCTGCCTCCCCCGATATGCTGATGAGCGTCTTACCTTCTGCTGCAGCGGTGGTCCACTAGAAGCTGCAACAGGATCTGTGATGTAGGTCTTCTTAGGACCAGTGGCTGGATACACGCCAGTAGGGTTCTGGTTCCCAGCCACAGGCGGGGTGTACCCTGGTTCTCGCTTCCAGGTATTTGGGTGACTTTGTTGACCATAGGCAGGATCGGAGTCATTTCTGCCCCCATACCCTGGCCCTGCTGCGTAATAGGGATCATAATAGCGTCCTTGGTTGGGGGCATAACCATATGTGGGCTCAGGCTGAAGTCCTGGTGGTGGAACATACCCATAATCTGTGCCTCCTCTGGTTGAAGGAGGTGGGCCCTGCCCAGAGACAGGAACTGGATGAGTGTTATAGCTATGGGGCCCAGGGCCATACGTTTGTCCCGATGAAGGGCCAGCCGTGTAGTGAGGGCTGGGCTGGGCTGACTTCACTTGCACATTGAAGGTAGGCCTTGAAGGGGTGGATGCTGTGGTGTAGGAAGCCGGGACTGGCTGAGGCTGAGGTTTGAGAGTTCCAATTGGGGCCACAGGGATGGGTCCAGCCTGGGCCGAAGCCTGAGGTTTCATCGTAGACTTTTTGGTTGCCGTTAGAGGGGGTTGGTTTGGTATGACCATTCTTTTATGTCCTGTGACAGGGGTGGCGACTGGAGGAGCAGTTGAAGTAGTATTGCCCTAGAGTAGAAAACAAGGAGAGAAAAGATGATTATCACTGATGAAACAAAATTAAAATATACTAATGAACAATGCTAATAACAGCTAATTATTATTTATGTATTAATATGGTAAATAAAAATGAGACACGGATCTGCCCTAAAAGGGAAAGACTAACATAGAAATAAGTTGCATGTCTATGCAGACAAATAAACAAGTGTAGAAGAAAATTAAAGAGAAAAATCTATTTCCAACAGTATCAAAAAAAAAAAAAATTCCTAGTTTAAGATAAAACTTAAACTATACTGGTGATATATGTGTATGCTGAAAACCATAAAACAGTGAATGAAAAACCTCCTTTCCCCACAAGTGGAAAAGTGTCTATTTTCATAGAATGGTAGACATGGTGTTGATTAAAAAAAATTCAACTATGAAAATTATCTGCAGATTAGGGCAATGCTTATCAAAATCCCAATAACATTTTTTAGAGAATGAGTATCTAGAAAGAGTAGAATTCTAAAATTCATACAGAATCACAAAAGGGCATTAATAGCTAAAGCTTTATCAGAAAGGAAGAAGAAAGCTTGTGAATGTAACACGAGAACAGAGTATGTAGGTATCACAATTCCTGATTTCAAAACATATTACAAAGCTATAGTAATCCAAGCAATGCCATATTTGCATTAAAAGATACACATATCAATGGAGTAAAATGAAGAACCCCAAAATGATGAATACACACATGTAAATTTGATTGCTTTTTGCCATGGGTGAGAATACACACTGGCAAAAGCACGCTCTTTTCAATGAACAGTGCTGAGAAAAATGGATATCCACAAGCAAAGGAATGAAATTGGACTCTCACCCTACACCCTCAATTAATCTTGCATTAAAGACTTGAAAATATGAAAGACTTAAGACCTGGAACTGAAATATTTGGAAGAGATCTCAGAGATAATGCTTCACTGGCCTTGGTAACAATTTCCTGGATATGACACCAATAGACAACAACACACAAAAATAAATGAGAGCCTCTGTCAAACTAAAACCTCTGTATAACAAAGGAAACAATCAGCAGAGTAGAAAGACAAATGATAAAAAGGCAGATAATATTTAAAGATTGCATATCCATGAAATGGTTAATCTTCAAAACCAGTCAAGGATCCTTAGAACTCAGTAGTAAAAAAAAGAAAGTAAAACCAATAACAACAAAATAAAATCTGGTAAGAAAATAAATTAAGGATTAGAATAGGCATATTTTCTAATAGAAGACACAGTAGTGACCAACGAGTCTACAAAACATGGTAAATGTTACTTAGGATGAAAAATCACAGACAAACACCACACTGAGCTATCATCCCATGATGCCAGGATACCTATTTTTAAAAACAAAGCAAAACAAAACAGAACAGGAAGTTGGAAGCTTCGTACAGTATTGGTGGGGTACAAAATAATGCAAATATTATAGAAGACATTTTGGAGGCCCCTCAAATAATTGAAAATGGAACTAGTGTACCACCCAATAATATCCCTTTTGGGTGTTTAACCAAAACAATTAAAATTAAGATCTCAAAGAGGTATCAGCACACCTATGTTCACAGCAGCAATGTACACAAGAGTCAAGATACAGAAACAAATTATACGCCCATCAACAGATGGAAAAGGGTAAAAAGCATGCTGCATGCTTACAGAGGAATACCACCCAGCCTTCGATCCTAAGGAAAGTCTGCAATATGCAGCAACATGGATGCACCTGGAGGACCTACACACAGACGGAATGGATATGACACCAGTTGTGTGATTTTCTGTGATACAGTCACAGAAAGACAAATGCTGGATGACTTCACCACATAAAGTGTCAAAAATAGTCATTTTAATAGAATCAAGGAGTGAAATGCTAGTTATGATGGTCTCAGTGGAGGCAGAATGGAGAATTCCTAATCAATGGACATAATTTTTTGGTCAAGCAATGTGAATAAACTCTAGAGGCTTGGTGGTCAATAATTTATGATTAACCATAATGCACTATATGCTTAAACTTTTGTTAAAAGAGTAGCAAGACGGGAATGTATGATGTTATCTTGAAATGCACAAAATAGATGTTGTGGTCCTAATCCTAGAGAGAGAATACGCAGGGGGTACATCTCCTCTGCTCTCATTATAGATCAGTTCTCTCACACATGATAAAGTCCTATGGGATAGGGAGATGTCTTCACCCCAGGACACTACTGCCCCCCCTACTTCCCTGCCATTAATCTCACCTGCTGTTGAAGATACTTGGAAAGTGATGAGTGGAAAAATACTACATAAATGACTGTTACAGGAATTCAATTCTCAGAAAGTTACATATGAGTATAATATTGAAATATGCTTGATTTTTGAAGTGAAGTGAAATGATAAAAATTCAAGAATCCTTATAAAAACAAAAATAAAATGGAATGTCCAAAACATGCTTGGAGGGCCGGAGATATAGCTCAGTGGCACAGTGCCTGGCTGGCAAGCTCGATGTTCTGAGTTCAATTCCTGGTACCAAAACATGCTTGGAAATACCAAATCAACCAAAAAATAGAAAAGACTCATTGTGTGAATCTTTAATTCAAATAATTGGATATATGGACTAGGTGAATGCTACTATAGCTCTCTTTAACCATGAAGAAGATAAATAAATATGCTCAAAATGATCCTGTTTTTTTTTTTTTTAATCCTTTCTGTTCCAATGAGGTAAAATTTGTATGACTCCAAGGGGAGAGGAAAATATATATATTCATAATACCGTATGAATTCATATGTTATATACTGTATTATGAATTCTAATCATATATATATATATATTATGAATTCATAATAGAGTTGAGGGAAATCTTCTCATCCTCCACAAAGAACTCTATCTACAAAGGTGACATTTCCGGGGAACAGGTGATGGTTACTGAAATCGTCCTGCCATGCCCTCACTCACAGACCTCAGCAGTGTTCAGACAGTGTGTGGGGGGAATGCACCATGAAGAGACACCTGTGCAAAGCTGACTTCTATGGAGTGAAATCTTTCATTCTTTTCTACTTGCACATTTGATTGGTTCCACTTTTCCAGTGGTGTGACATTGAATATCTGTTCCCGGACAGAATTTACAGCTGTACCCTGCAGGATACCTGTCGTTAGCCTGCTTGGTCAGTCACTGCCCCTATTTATGGTTGAGTTTGTAAATTGCTCAGAATATGAACCCTGGGATTTTGCTGATCTTGAGTTTTCAAAGAAAGAAATTTCATGTCTTCTTTCTTTCAATTCTGTCTCTGTTGACATTTTTAATGACTGACATAGGTGACCAAGAAATACTGAACTTAAAGTTTTTTCTTTTTTCTTTTTTTTTGGTCCAGTTGGACTTTTCCATGCCCTCTGTTATAGAAAGTTGGGTTTTTAACTGGAGTGCTCCTTTAGAAATGTATTCAGCATACATATTTTAGTAATAAACTGGTTAAAGAGGAAAAAGTATATGTTGGTACAACTGGGACTACCCACAAGGAGAAGAAAAGGATGCTCCATCAAGGTAGTAATATTATGCTGTTTGTTAAAGGATAGTTTGTTGAGAGGGAAAGAGAAGAAAAGAAGAAAGAAGAAGGAAGAAGAAGAAGAAGAAGAAGAAGAAGAAGAAGAAGAAGAAGAAGAAGAAGAAGAAGAAGAAGAAGAAGAAGAAGAAGAAGAGGATGAGGAAGAGGAAGAGGAAGAAGAAGAAGAGGATGAGGAAGAGGAAGAAGAGGGAGGAGAGGAGGAGAAGGGGAGAAGAGGAGAAGAAGAACAAGAAGGAAGAAAAAGGAAGAACAAGAAGGAGAAGAAGAAAAGGAAGAAGAGCAGGGGAGAAGGAGAAGAAAAAAGAAGAAAGAGGAGAAGGAAAGAAGAAAAGAAAAGAGGAAAATAAGTAGAGCAAGCAAGCAACAAAGAAAGGAAAGAAGAGAAGAGAAGAGAAGAGAAGAGAAGAGAAGAGAAGAGAAGAGAAGAGAGAAGAGAAGAGAAGAGAAGAGAAGAGAAGAGAAGAGAAGAGAAGAGAAGAGAAGAGAAGAGAAGGGAAGAGAAGAGAAAAGAGAAAAGAGGGATTCAATTTAGAATTAGAAGATCCCTAGGAAACTACAGGTGAGACCAATGATACATAGAAAAAATAACCAACTGTAAGTCAGGATCCCAACAAGAATGATGGTGCACTCAAACTAGGCCTCTCAAAGAGTTGATTTATACAGGTGTTATATACATAGCCTCATTTAGGGGCAGCAAAGCCCTGAGGGAAATAGCAACAATCTGGGTCTAGCCAAACAATAGTTGTCATGTTCCCCACACTTCTTCAATACTGGAAGTGATTTCTCTCAAATGAATTTTAGATCACATTACTTTGTTATGGAAAAGTCATCAACCAGCTAGTGGGAAATCAAATTCACACTTCCTCTTCCACTTCTTAAGAAGGTGGTGTCATGCCTCTCACTCACTGATATTCCTTCCTATCCAGCAAGCCAAGCTTGCTCGTGTCTCAGAGATTACTCCCATGAACTTCCCCAGTTCTCTCAGAATTCTGTGTCTAGTGAATTCTTAGGAACCCTTTCACTCTTACCCTGAGTGTCAAGTCCCTAAGCCAGCTTTTGCCTGCCTCTTCTTGCATAATAGGCACGCTTTACTGCCCCCTTTCTATATGTAGCACGCTTGCAAATGTCTGTACCCACGTCCCTTTTAGAAACAGGTCCCTTGTACTGCATGGCGCTTTGCTAATGGCTTTTTTTTTTTTTTTTTTTTTTTGCTGTAACGATAAATGCAACTGTTTTCTTAATTTGTATTTCT